TTCTATGTACACAAAGCCCATTGACCTTCAAGCTTCAACCACTTCTACTGAACCATCAACTGTGCATTTGCAAACCCTGGAGCAGACTCTTTTAACCAGTTCTTCTGCTATGAATGATCCTAACAAATCAACAGTAGACCTTCAAAAATCTACACCACTCCAGGGCCTGGAAATTGTCGTTCAGCCTGCTACAGTCTCAGCATTCAGTGCAACTGAATATGCAACAGTTGCAGCTTCTACTTTGCTACCAAAAACATCATCAACGAAAAATCATTCTCCTACATCTAGTACTGAACCTGCAACAGTTTCTGTCTCTGCCAAAGCAGTTGAAACTTCCAGAACAATGTTTATGTCTGCAGTTGATAGTAGTTCAGCTACAATTTCTTCCTCTGAAATCCCCAATGAAGTTCACTCTACAGCAATGTTACCAGCAACATCAACAGTGTCTGATTCTGTCAGTTTTACAGACACATCAAATACATTGGGGCGTGTAGCATCTAAAGAAATTTCAACAGTGACACCTGTAAATTTACCAAGCATTTCAGCAAAAGATGTAACATTAACAGAAATAAAAACAGCTGTGCCTGTATCAGAGTTTTTGAACAGAAATGACTCTGTAATGTCAATGGAAACAGTAACTCCAACACAACTTCCACATGAACAAACTTTTACCATGGCAGTGCAACTGCCTCCTTCTAAAACAATGACATCTACTTTGTCCCAAACCTCATTAATGACAACCAAAACAACACCTACAAGACTGGATACACTTGACACTGTAGTTTCTATGACTAGTCAACTCAGTCAGTCTGCCACAGCTACAGTGGACCATTCCACTGATGTAAATGTGGTACCAGCATCACCAGTGGCAACCTCTACCAGAAGTCAGGCTCCTTCGTCGACTACTGAATCGGAACAATTTTCTGACACTGAGTCTTCAACTGAATCTTTGCAAAGTACCATGTTGATGTTAACAACTGATAATACTTCAAATATGAGAAATTCATCAGAAGCTTCACCTGATGTATCTGTGACAGAAGCACAAGTAATTTCACCCAGAACTAAGACAACAGTTGTGCCACCAAATGTGCCAACAGCGCAGTCAACTATGACTGCAATTCCACGTGAATTCCTGATCACAGCAGCCTCTTCAGCTACAGCAACATCAACAGAAACATCAAATAATTCATCAACTGCTACATTTTCAGCTATTATAAATCAATCCACAACAACATCAGAAGAACAAAACCACACATCAGTTATAACTCTGTCTACTACATATCAAGGTTTGGGAACAAGTGCTACTTCTACAGTAACAAAAGAAGAATTGTCCACTAGAAGTCAGGTTCCTCAATTTTTCACTCAACCAATGACACATTCTGTTACTGAGACAGAAGATGAAACTATGAGATCTACCATGCTGACATCTTCAGCTGACAATAACTCATTTGAAGATTCTTTGTCAACCACTTCATTTCATTCATCAGCCACTGTGACAAACACATTACCTACAGACAATTCTGTAGCTTTACCAGGAATATCAACAGGTGCTGCAAATGTACTTCTACCAGAGACATCAACAGCAGCTGGACACAGAACTACGGAAGAAACAATACATTCTGTTTCTATAACAACATCCTCAACATCCCACCTTTCGATGTTACCAGATTTCCCAATCACAGCAGTCCCTATGACTACAGATGCAGCACTGACCCCAACACAAGTAACACCAACACAAACTTCAACAAGGGTAACAGAAGTATCTGATTCTATGTACACAAAGCCCATTGACCTTCAAGCTTCAACCACTTCTACTGAACCATCAACTGTGCATTTGCAAACCCTGGAGCAGACTCTTTTAACCAGTTCTTCTGCTATGAATGATCCTTACAAATCAACAGTAGACCTTCAAAAATCTACACCACTCCAGGGCCTGGAAATTGTCGTTCAGCCTGCTACAGTCTCAGCATTCAGTGCAACTGAATATGCAACAGTTGCAGCTTCTACTTTGCTACCAAAAACATCATCAACGAAAAATCATTCTCCTACATCTAGTACTGAACCTGCAACAGTTTCTGTCTCTGCCAAAGCAGTTGAAACTTCCAGAACAATGTTTATGTCTGCAGTTGATAGTAGTTCAGCTACAATTTCTTCCTCTGAAATCCCCAATGAAGTTCACTCTACAGCAATGTTACCAGCAACATCAACAGTGTCTGATTCTGTCAGTTTTACAGACACATCAAATACATTGGGGCGTGTAGCATCTAAAGAAATTTCAACAGTGACACCTGTAAATTTACCAAGCATTTCAGCAAAAGATGTAACATTAACAGAAATAAAAACAGCTGTGCCTGTATCAGAGTTTTTGAACAGAAATGACTCTGTAATGTCAATGGAAACAGTAACTCCAACACAACTTCCACATGAACAAACTTTTACCATGGCAGTGCAACTGCCTCCTTCTAAAACAATGACATCTACTTTGTCCCAAACCTCATTAATGACAACCAAAACAACACCTACAAGACTGGATACACTTGACACTGTAGTTTCTATGACTAGTCAACTCAGTCAGTCTGCCACAGCTACAGTGGACCATTCCACTGATGTAAATGTGGTACCAGCATCACCAGTGGCAACCTCTACCAGAAGTCAGGCTCCTTCGTCGACTACTGAATCGGAACAATTTTCTGACACTGAGTCTTCAACTGAATCTTTGCAAAGTACCATGTTGATGTTAACAACTGATAATACTTCAAATATGAGAAATTCATCAGAAGCTTCACCTGATGTATCTGTGACAGAAGCACAAGTAATTTCACCCAGAACTAAGACAACAGTTGTGCCACCAAATGTGCCAACAGCGCAGTCAACTATGACTGCAATTCCACGTGAATTCCTGATCACAGCAGCCTCTACAGCTACAGCAACATCAACAGAAACATCAAATAATTCATCAACTGCTACATTTTCAGCTATTATAAATCAATCCACAACAACATCAGAAGAACAAAACCACACATCAGTTATAACTCTGTCTACTACATATCAAGGTTTGGGAACAAGTGCTACTTCTACAGTAACAAAAGAAGAATTGTCCACTAGAAGTCAGGTTCCTCAATTTTTCACTCAACCAATGACACATTCTGTTACTGAGACAGAAGATGAAACTATGAGATCTACCATGCTGACATCTTCAGCTGACAATAACTCATTTGAAGATTCTTTGTCAACCACTTCATTTCATTCATCAGCCACTGTGACAAACACATTACCTACAGACAATTCTGTAGCTTTACCAGGAATATCAACAGGTGCTGCAAATGTACTTCTACCAGAGACATCAACAGCAGCTGGACACAGAACTATGGAAGAAACAATACATTCTGTTTCTATAACAACATCCTCAACATCCCACCTTTCGATGTTACCAGATTTCCCAATCACAGCAGTCCCTATGACTACAGATGCAGCACTGACCCCAACACAAGTAACACCAACACAAACTTCAACAAGGGTAACAGAAGTATCTGATTCTATGTACACAAAGCCCATTGACCTTCAAGCTTCAACCACTTCTACTGAACCATCAACTGTGCATTTGCAAACCCTGGAGCAGACTCTTTTAACCAGTTCTTCTGCTATGAATGATCCTTACAAATCAACAGTAGACCTTCAAAAATCTACACCACTCCAGGGCCTGGAAATTGTCGTTCAGCCTGCTACAGTCTCAGCATTCAGTGCAACTGAATATGCAACAGTTGCAGCTTCTACTTTGCTACCAAAGACATCATCAACGAAAAATCATTCTCCTACATCTAGTACTGAACCTGCAACAGTTTCTGTCTCTGCCAAAGCAGTTGAAACTTCCAGAACAATGTTTATGTCTGCAGTTGATAGTAGTTCAGCTACAATTTCTTCCTCTGAAATCCCCAATGAAGTTCACTCTACAGCAATTTTACCAGCAACATCAACAGTGATTGATTCTGTCAGTTTTACAGACACATCAAATACATTGGGGCGTGTAGCATCTAAAGAAATTTCAACAGTGACACCTGTAAATTTACCAAGCATTTCAGCAAAAGATGTAACGTTAACAGAAATAAAAACAGCTGTGCCTGTATCAGAGTTTTTGAACAGAAATGACTCTGTAATGTCAATGGAAACAGTAACTCCAACACAACTGCCACATGAACAAACTTTTACCATGGCAGTGCAACTGCCTCCTTCTAAAACAATGACATCTACTTTGTCCCAAACCTCATTAATGACAACCAAAACAACACCTACAAGACTGGATACACTTGACACTGTAGTTTCTATGACTAGTCAACTCAGTCAGTCTGCCACAGCTACACTGGACCATTCCACTGATGTAAGTGTGGTACCAGCATCACCAGTGGCAACCTCTACCAGAAGTCAGGCTCCTTCGTCGACTACTGAATCGGAACAATTTTCTGACACTGAGTCTTCAACTGAATCTTTGCAAAGTACCATGTTGATGTTAACAACTGATAATACTTCAAATATGAGAAATTCATCAGAAGCTTCACCTGGTGTATCTGTGACAGAAGCACAAGTAATTTCACCCAGATCTAAGACAACAGTTGTGCCACCAACTGTGCCAACAACGCAGTCAACTATGACTGCAATTCCACGTGAATTTCTGGTCACAGCAGCCTCTACATCTTCAACTGCAGCACTGACCCAAACAGAAGACTCTACTACTGCAACAGAACTAGCTGTCCATACAAGTACAAAACTCACTAAACCAGTTGGTCAGACATCAACCACCTTACAAGAAACACCAACAAACTTTGCCACTACAGATTTTCCACAAATAGTATCAACAGTTCAAAAGTCTTCAGCTTTACCAGCAATGTCTTCAACACAGTTACTTCCTAAAGAAAATACTACCGTGGCAGCAAAACTGCCTACTTCTACAACAATGACATCTACTTTCACTCCAACCTCTTTCCCGTCAACTGAGGCAACAAATGTGAGACTGGATACACTTGGTCATTTATCGACTGTTTCTATGACTAGTCAGCTCAGTCAGTCTGGCACAGCTGCAGTTGACTATAACACTGATACAAGTGCATCACCAGCATCACCAGTGGCACCACCTACCAGAAGTCAGTCTCCTTCATCTACTACTGAATCAGAAAGATTTTCTGTCTCTGGATCTTCAACTGAATCTTTCCAAAATACTTTGTTGATGTTCACAATTGATAATACTTCAAAGATGAGATCTTCATCAGTAGGTTCACCTGATGTATCTGTGACAGAAGCACATGTAATTTCACCCAGACCTGAGACAACAGTTGTGCCACCAAATGTGCCAACAGCGCAATCAGCTATGACTGTAATTCCACATGAATTCCTGATCACAGCAGCCTCTACAGCTACAGTTGCAGCACAGACCCCAACAGAAGCTTCTACTACTTCAACAGAACTGGCTGCTCCTACAAATACAAGATTTACTCAAGCCCAAATTTCTACTACATCAACAGAAACATCAACTGATTCATCAACTGCTTCAGTTTCAGCTGTTATAAATCAATTCACAACAATGTCAGAAGAACAAAACCACACATCAGTTATGACTCAGTCTACTACATATCAAGGTTTGAGAACAAGTGCTGTTTCTACAATAACAAAAGAAGCAGTGTCTACCAGAAATCAGGTTCCTCAGTCTTTTACTGAGTCTGTCTCTGAAGAACCACTACAACCTTTGAGAACCACTTCAACTCCATCTTCAAACACTTACAGAATATCTTTAGCTGTAACTACCACTGCTGGAAACACCAGACCAGCCACCACAACAAACACCTCTGCTATTTCTGTTGCTTGGTTATCTACTCTGGCTACCACAGCCATGGCAGTGCCAGCTAAAGCAGGTGAAGGAGTTATTATTTTACAATTACGCATCCAGCGAGTCTTCATCCCTGCTTACAATGATCCTTCCTCAACTGAGTACAAGACTCTGGTTAGCAATATCACTGCTGAGGTAATAAAGCAAAAAAAGGTGTTTTATATATATATATATATATTGTGATTCTGACAGATTTTATAATGTGATTTTAAAAATATGATCTTTGCATGGATTTATCAACTTATCAGTTCTTGGAAAAATCTGATTTTATGATTTTTGTTACCAGTAAAATTCTGAAAGATGGACAAGAACACCAAGCCGATAATGCTTGTATTTTAACTATCTGTGTCTTTTCTTGTGTAGTTGGGCCGAGGCTACAGAGAGCAGTTTCCCCTTACATTCCTCCGATGCTATGTCTTAAGACTCTGGTACAGTATTTTCAGCTTTAATCACATCACAGCATGAAAATAGCTAGGACACCACAGTGAGAAATTATATGAATCTTCTTTTATCTCCTCTTTTTTTAAGTTTAAGTTTATTCCTGTTTGAAAAGCTCAGCTGATGTTTTAAATGTCATATACATTTATGTTATCTCTTTACTGTTTTAATAATAATGCAAGTTTTGTATGATGTTCTAAAGAAGTATTTATTTATTTATTTATTTTTAAAAATATGAAAATGCATACCCCATGAGTGCTGGTTTTAAAATAGTTGTTAATATCATAAGCTGCTGATAGATCATTTCTAAATCTCCCTTTTCACCATCTACAGGGCTGGTTCAGTGGGTGTGGACACTCAGCTAATCTTTAAAAATGAAGCAGTTCTTCCAAATGTAACAGTTGTGGCTGAATCACTGAAATCAGCAATAAATGGCTCTACAGTTTTCCTGGATATCATTCCATCCAGTGTAACTGCTGGTGAGAGTTCAACACTTTATTTTATTCATAAAAACTCTCAGTGCAATTGAAGAGTATTCTTTTTGTATAGAATTGGGATTTTGGATGATAAGCAGATTCTGATGTTATAAAACATTTTCAATAAATGTTTCAGGATCCAATTCTCTATTATTTAACTACTGTTAAGCATCATCACTGAAATTAATGCAACATGCTTCCTTTTCCTTTTCATAGTAAATATTCTCTCAACTACTTTGGATACCAACACCGCCACCGCCGCCACCACCACCACCACTGCCACAACCACCACCACCACCACCACCACACTCCACACACAGATGCAGACCAGCCATAACAACATTACAAGTGAGACATTTAGCAGTGCCATGGCAACATCTCTACCCAGCACACTAATCACTTTCTTTGTTATGATAATTTTTCACAGCTTTATAAACACTCTTATGCAGTGAATTTTGTAGATTGGCAAAAAAAAAATTATGAAATGAGGACTTGATACATGGTGTAAAATATAATACTACTTAAAATGATTTTGTGCACTTTGTGTTTATAGTATTATATATGCAATGATCTAATTATCTAATCAATAACGGTGAATAGTATGATTGTAAATGTTATCTTTTCTGTGTCTCATAGCTTATGTTAAATAGTACTTTACACTTCTTTATATTACTAATCTCTGCACACCTATCTGCTGACACATTGTAGTGGCAGAATCTACCTGTTCTTATAGCCCATAAAATTATGTCTATAATAACATCCTATCCTTTATGCAATTTCAGGTTTTGTATTTTGCACAATGGAATGTTTGAATGAATGTATAAAATCCAATAAAATATGGGAATGGATCAAATGTATACTTGTTTCTATAAGAAGTACTCAAGTTTTAAAAGATTACACACTATGCTAGAGAATACTTGTTACAAAAGACATGGATTGTTGTAGTACAGTGGATAAATGAAAATATGTCAGTCTATGCTGTGGTATATGCAGATTGGCATAGGTACCACTGAAAAAAGGAATAACACTAATAATGTATGGTCACTGATAATACTCTCTCTGTATGTCCACTGATAATTAAGTACATCTCCCTTTTTAACGAACAAATTTCCTGCAAAGTTATATCATAAAAACAGTGAGGAGGATATACAGATGGAGAATGAATCATAAAAATTTGCTCAAGAACCTCATCCAGAAGAAGCTTTGCACGCAAATCTGTGTTAGTAGGAAAAAAATCAGGGCTAGCAAGTTAAATTTGGGCTGAACATTATACATGAAAATAGTTCTCTTTTTAGTTGGGTAGATCATTGTGGCAATTTACACTGCTTAACCTGCTCTGGGCCCCTAGAACTTCAAGGCCACATTTTACACACTTCAAACTTTAACCTCAGATCACCTGCTTGCATTGTAACACTTGTGCTAGTAGACTAAAAACTTCTGCATCAGACAGAAAGATTTAGAAGCACACTGAGGAAAACAGTTTTATTTAAAACTGAACTGGCTGTTCAGTGCAGACATACACATTTGAGAATATGCCTGTAGGCCAATTTAAAACAAAAAATGGATTCTGAAACCATGTTAACATTAAAGCAGGGTAATGATTTAGAATGAAATCAGAAACAAAATCAGAATCGCTTTCTTTATTTCACCAAATATGTTAAGATACATTGTTTATAGATATACAAGATATTTGTTTTGGTGAGTGCATAATGTATGACAAGTATAAGTACACATACTAAATTGACCAAGCAAACAGACTGTTAACAAGTTATTAACTAAGGGACAATTCAATAAAAATACAATAAATATATTAAAGAATAAATGATAGTGAATAATAAAGAGTCATGGAGAGGATCTAAAGAAAATGCATGAATATCTGTACATTTAGTTTCTTGCCTGGTGGAGAAGATTATACAGTTAGAGGTGCATCCGGAAGTTAGAAAAGAGCAGGGCTAGTCAGCAGGGCTCAGACTCACGGTTAAAAGCTCCTGGTGCCTCAGGGAGAGCTAGCATGCCCCCGACTCCGGCAGCAGTGCCTTCACAGTAGGGCCAAAGTTTGCCATTACATTGGCAAATGCTTTCCCCATGCGAGCACCACTCGCATTTATATCTATCTTAGACTCTGTTGGTTTCACTCAAAATATAATGGGACAACTCATTATTGCAACCACACTCTAAATTTAGACCTTTGGTGTAAACATAGAGCATTTAGCTGTTTTTCCCCAGAGCACAGCAGTCTCAGATCATTACCTAATCACATATGAAATTCGCTTTAGACATAATAAGTGTTCAACACCACACTAACATCCTCCACAGCTAGTAGCTTTATCAAAACACCTCCCAGATCTATCAGCTTCTAACAGCTGTATACATGAACCTACCAAATGAGATCATATGACTGAGTGCTTAGCTTTATTAAAACATAAAAGAATAAGGCAGAAAAAGCTTAATAATAGTCCTAGATTATTATTTCACATAATTTCTAAATTGGCTAAGAACCAAACAGCTACTGAAACCCAGATGCCATCAGCCTTCAGCAGCAATGATTTTATAAGTTTTTTCAATAACAAAATTGAAATAATCAGGCAAAAAATGCAGTTAACTGCTACAAACCTGCTGCCCTAATAAGCTAATCCAGATCTTAAGTACTGTGTAACTACTGCAGAGAGGTTGGAATCATTTACCTTACTTCAACAAACAGAGCTGGTTAAAATTATTTCCTTCTAAATTCTTCTACTTGCATATTAGGTCCAATTCCTACAAGTTTATTCAAAGAAATTTTGCCAGAAATAGCCAAGCCTCTTTTGTCAATAATAAACTCTCTAATCCTTGGACACATACCAAAAACTCTTAAACTAGCGATAATTAAACCTTTGATTAACAAACTTAATCTTGATCCTGTGAGCTCCCTATTTACATAGAAATCACACATGAAAAATTTCCATCTGTATTTAGGCCTCATCGTAGTACAGACACAGCACTAGTGAAAACTGTAAATGATCTCTTATTATTATGTAACCAGGAAAATGTTTCTTAGTGCAGCATTTGATATGAAAAACCACTCTATCTTACCAGGCAGGCTAGAAAACCTTGTAGGAGTAACAGGAATAGCTTGGTTCAGATCTTACCTCACTGATCACAATCAGTTTGTGAGCAAGGAAAAACTCACTAAGAGCAAGAAGAGGAAAAAATCTTGAGAAGTACCATGACTCAAAAGGGGAACTTATCCTCCTCTGGTCAATACCAGATAGCAAAACAAAAACACAACAGTACATTAGTATTAAATATAACAAATAAAGAAAAGGGGAAAAGCAAAACTAAACAAGTGGGTTTTTAGTCTAGACTTAAAGACTGAGGCTGTGTCTGAGTCCCGAACACTGACTGGAAGATTATTCCAAAGCTGATGTAACTCCCCCTGATGTAACTCTATTAATTCTACATACTAGATTCTAGATATTAGATTAGTTTTCTGAAAAGCTGCTTTGTGACAATGCTTGTTTTAAAAAGTGAACTTTGGCTTGACAAGCAAACAGGCATTATGTTACAGAGAAGTTACTGTAATACAGTAAGGAGGTTTGTTTGGTCTTTTTTAGGTTCATAAGCAGCAAGTTTTCATGTCTAATAGCTAAACACTGCTTCTACATGTTTAGTTTTCACCTTCAGCAGGACTAAGGGCATTTTCAGACCGTCGAGTCATAGTTTCTTTTGCATATGTGAACATGCTAAATGAATTCAGACCCCTCTAAATGGCCCCAAAAAAGGGCCCCCTCTCGAGGTGGTCTCAGTTCACTTCGTTTGTAGTTAGTTTTGTGGTTTGATTGATTTGTACATTGTGAAAACAAAACAGCCCCAGTCCACTTTAACTTTGCTTTATGGTGAAGATCTTGAGGCTCACCATGCACACAGGTACAGTCTTCAGCACTTTAACAGGTAAAACAGACCAAGGATCATTTATAAGGTTCTACTCAGGATAAAGTCTGTGCGACAAGACAACAGCGCTGACATATTAAAGTGATAAGATGCGAGAGCCCACGTGATTTTACTGTGTTAAAGGCTCAAACTGGGCACACAATGCAATTTTAAGCTGCTTTCACACTGAATGAATAAAAATTAACAGCTGATGCAGAGGTTTCACTGGGTGGAGCTCAATGAGGAGCCCAGCCGAAAACGGAACCCACCACGGCAGACCCACAGGGTCATTTTACCAATTTTGCGCGAAGCACTTTGGCCAGTCGTTTCAGTGTGGCCAACAGACGGGTCTGGTGGTTCCTCTCAACACCTGGAAGGTTAGATTTATCAGAGAATGCAGCCCACTTTGTGAGTGCTGCGCACACTGAGTGCTGTGAAAGGGGTCTGAGTTCTAATGGAGTCGTGGTCTGAACAAAAAGTGGTCTGAGATCTCAAAGGACCAGAAAGAAAACTGAGTCCTATTTATAGATCACTTACATTGTGAAAAAATTAACTGAGGCCATTTGCAATTGGTTCCCTTCCAGGTTCGCTTTAACAGAACTCAGTTTGGTTCTTTTAAAATGAACTATATGTGAAAACACTATAACTGACTAGTTCCTAATGATATGGGAGCTTTTCTGTGAGATTATATGGGATGACCGTGTTAAATGCTGCGCTGTAGTCAATAAAGGGCATTCTGACATACATGTCCATGCCCTCCAGGTGTGTGAGGGCTGTGTGAAGGGCAGTGTTCACTGCGTCGTCTGTGGAACGGTTCTGACGGTATGCAAACTGGAGAGGGTCTATAGTGTTTGGAATGATCTCTTGGATATGAATAATGACTATTCTCTTGAAGCACTTCATCACGATTGGGGTGAGTGCAACAGGGCGACAGTCATTTAGGCAGGTCACAACACTTTTCTTTGGGAGGGGCACGATGGTGGTGGTCTTGAAGCAGGATGGCCGGGAGTCTGCGGTGGTGTAGTAGCCCTCCAGCCTCAGCCTGTACAGTCTCTTGGCCTCTCTGATAGATCTACGCAGGTCATATCTGGACCTTTTGTAGTCTTCAGCATTGCCTGAGAGAAATGCAGCATGGCAAGTACGTAGCATGGACCAAACATCACCGTTTACCCAGGTTTCTGGTTGGGACATTTTCGGCAGCACTTTGTAGGAACAATGCTTTCAATGCAGCTGCTGATGTAGCCTGTTACTCCAGAAGCATAGTCCTCTAGATCAACAGTACAGTTCTCTCTCACAGCAGCAGTTCTGAACACATCCTAGTTTGTACTGTCAAAGCAGTCCTGAAGCACTAGATCAGTTTCTTCATTCCACACTTTGATAGTTTTACTCACTGGAAGTGCTTGCTTGTCTGTATGCTGGGTAGAGGAACACGAAGATGTGGTCAGACTGTCCAAAGTGCAGCCAAGGCACAGCCCTGTAGGCCCCCCTCACGTTGCTGTAGACTTGGTCGAGTATGTTGCTCTCCCTTGTCGGAAGGCTCACGTGCTAATGATACTTGGGGAGGACAGTCATCAGATCGCAGTGGTTGAAGTCGCTGGCAACAATGAACACGGCGTCTGGGTGCACGGTCTCTTGTTTACTAATGGCGTCATGCAGCAGCCCTAGCGCCATGGCAGAGTTCACACGTGGTGGGATGTAAACAGCCAGAATAACCACAGCGCTGAACTCTTTCGGCAGATAGAAGGATCTGCACTTCAACGTCAGCAGTTCTAAGTCAGCTGAACAATGTTTTTCAACAGTCTT